AAGAGCTAGGGACGTAAATTTTTTTGTAAAATGTCCGTGTATTCCACGCGTATATCGAGTTTTGCTTTAAATCGATAGCTACTCCCGATATTTTTTTATCGATAAAAACCCTTATCGAAAATCAGTTATAGAATTATGTCTCCTACAACTTTGAAGCTAAAATTTCAAAATTTTCAATGTAGATTTATATGCAATTTGTTAAAGTTTAACCCCCACCCCTATATCCACCCCCTCACCCTCACCTTTGTAAAAGGTAGAGGTAGTAGAGACCTGTGCTTTGGAATGTGCTTATAAAATAATGGAGATTATACTAATCGTGTTATAATCATCCCTGAGAACAATTAGTGACCCCAATACATCTCCATACCACCAATTCAGAGCATCGAATTCTGTACTATATGGTATATTATATATACTGTACAAAATGAGTACAGTATTTTTAAGAACACTTTACTACTGTACAGTGCTGTGGTACTGGAAATGAATACATTCATGCAGATCTGTAGTATACATACATATACGAGTATATAGTATCTGACCTACATCATAGTATAATTAAACATTAAATTTGTATTTATGCAGGATATACAGTACGAGTTTCACAGAAACTTTGAACGTGACGAAGAGGAGAATCTGGATAGGGACGAAAACGAGGAAGATGATGAAAACGAGGAGATAGTGGATGAGGATGATCATATCGAGCAGGATTATCGCCAGCAGCAGCAGCAGCAGAAACATCAACAGCAACAACTACAATTGATGCAACAGCCGCTCACATCCGATCGCCATGTAGGCACATATACACAGCCGCAGTTGCAGTTGCAGTCGCAGTTACAGTTACAGGCGCAGCTGCAGTCACAGCCAGCACAGCTGCCACGACATTACAGCGGCAGTCCACTAATGCGGGACTTTGACTTTTTCCGCGAAACGGCAAGTCGCAGCAGCGGCGAGCGAGAAGGCGAACAGGATGGACTAAATCACAACCAGTTACTGAGCACCGGTAGTGGCAGCTGCTTGGGCCAAAGCGTGGGCCAGACCGTGAGTGTTGGCCTGACAGGCACACATAACTATCGCTACTCGCCGGAGACCACGGACTATGACTCTAACTGCGGCGACCTTGACAGTGAGTATCTTGCTATTGATCTATCCTACAAATTCTTTCGCATTTATCTGTATCACAGGCCTCTCAGGCGAAATAAATGGCGGTTTGTCTACATCCTGTTCAAACTATGCCAAGTACTATGCCTCGGCCATGCCCGTTTTGGAGGATGGCCTCTCCTCGGGACACACCAGTGACACAGAGAACAATAATAACAAGAACCAAGTACAGCTGGGTGTCCAAGCAAATCCGAGCCAGACACAAGGACTAAGTCAGAGTCAGGGTCAGAATCAGGGCAATCTCAGCGCAAGCACCAGCATTGGCGGCGGCATTTCTATGCTAATGGACATGCAACGGATCTCAACAAACAACAGCCTAAACAGCATGCAAAACCTAACCGTCTCCGTCGACAGCAATGGGGTCGGCCATCAGCTCAGTCATACGAGTCCCAGTAACGGACACGCCACGCAACACCAGCAGCAACCATCACATCGTTCACATCAACGAGAACTGCTCGGCCAGAGCCCCAGCAACAATAGCAATAGCAAAGTGTTTAAGAGCATAGATCCAGAGTTGGACTCCCTCTACTCAATCAGTAAGTAGATAATAAGCAATTAGTCTATTTACTAAAAATACTTAAAGAATGCTTCACAGATGTTTTCCACCGTCCGGACATGGTGCAGATGACGCCCCCACCACCGGCGCCAGCGCCGCATCGCAAGCCAAACTGCAACACCGATGTTGATCTGCTGCAGGCTGCCGGGCAGGGCAGCAAGGCCATCGGGTCGACGTTGCAACGTAGCTCCCCAACTGCCTGCATAGGCGTTGGTAGCAGCACTGCAAAGCCGCGTAGCGCTAGCAGCAATTGCAGCAACAACGGCGTGGGCGGTGCTGGAACTAGTAGTGGTGGCGAGGGTGGGGCTGGGGCACATGCGCCACCACCCATACCAGAGCGGAGCAATATGCCTGTCCAACGCTCACCATCGCCTGTAATGAGCTCGCCCGTATGGCTGTCACGGCACCTGGAAGGAAATGATGGTAAGGCACTGCTCGAATCGAGCTCCGACAACCACTCAAAGAGTCACAGCGCTGATGAAGAAGATGTAGACACGGATCTCGAAACAGATCGCCTACTGGGCCATCAGCGCCTGGACGATCAAGGCTACTACGACGAGAACAAGAGCTGGGATCGCAAGCCGCGCAGCTCTCTGCTAACCAAAATATCGCCCAAGCAACAGCAAATGCCCAGCACTAAGACTCGTAACGGATACAATGCATTGCTCAGCTCTACTCCCGAACTGGCGCCGCCGGTTCCACCAAAGAGCTCGGCGAGCCTAAGCGGATCGGGGGCTAGCAAGCTGCTCGATCTGGTCAGTGGTGGCATCGGTGTCGGAATTGGCGTCGCTGTTAGCGCAGAAGCCGCGCAGCGCAGCGATTCGTGCAGCTCCTCAGAGCACAGCCATAAATCACCTATAAAAGTATCCGGTGCTGGTCACGATATATGTGGCATGACAGCCACAACAGCTGCTGATGCAATCGTCTCTGCTGTGGTGGCTGCTGGCGTATTACCGTCCCATGGTAGTTCCAACAATGGCGGAGACTTAGAGCGGTCGGCTACGGGTATTGCCAAAGCAGATACGGAAAGCGAGGGCATAAATGGCGCGGGAATTGTGGGTGTTGCCAGCAGCGTAGCCAATGCTGTTATAAGTAATGGCACTAGCACTATCAACGGCTCCGCAAACAATAATAATAACAACAACAACAACGTTGTCATTGGCAGCAATAACAGCAGCGGCAGCGGCGCGGGCAGCAACAGTGGCGAGAAAAAAGTTAAAAAGAGTAAGAGCAAAGAAGGTAAATGTTTTGGGTTTATCCATCGTTTAATTGTTGCAATTTTAGTGGCTATAGTGTTCATATAGTCAACCTTAATTTAGACGTCAATATCAATATCCATATATGCTGCTCTTCATTGCACTATGCTGTACAAAACATTTTACAACTAGCGAGAAGAAAGCAGCCGCAGCCTACAAAAACAAAATCAACAAGTAAGAAAGCTCTAGTCGAGACTGCTCGACTACGAGATCCCCTGAACCCTTGGAGTGTTAGCTATTTCAATCATTTTTCGCGTCTTTCAGCTTCACAAGAAACACACACACACACACACACACACACGCACACACGCACACACGCACATACTCACACACAGGCATATATACACACACACGCATACAGACACAAGCACATGCACACACTCACATACACACACACATACACAAACACATACACACACATACACAAACACATACACACACAAGCACCCACGCATAAACACGCATGGGCTGCAGTGTGCGCTTACTATGAGAA